AAGAAACAGATCATATTTAAAGGAAAACCCATCAGGATAACAGCAGATTTCTCTTCACAAACCATCAAGGAAAGAAGAGCTTGGAGCAAAGTACTTCAATTCGTGTAAGAAAACAAATTGCAACCCAGACTGATATGCCTTTCAAAACTCTCTTTCAAGTATAATGGAGAAGTGAAATACTTCCATGACAAAGAACAACTTAAGGATTTCATGATGACAAAGCCAAGCCTACACAGACTACTAAAAGATGTTCTAGAGAGGGAGCAAAATGATCACAACTCCATGAATGAGAATGGAAAGAACCCACCAAATAAGGCAAAAAATTAAATTCAGGAGAATAAGAAGTATACAAAAGCAGTCTTTCAGTTATTCTTTTGTATACAGTAGCAAGATATTTCCATCAGCATATTCTACAAATGGACTTCTCCTGCACCCTATGGAGCATGATTGTGTCTGGGTCTACAGGGTGGATATCAAGGAAATAGCAGTGAGTCAATCCCATGAGTGACGCCTGGACACCAGTAAGTATTATGGACATTATCCATGTCCACAGCACACTAGAACTTTGTGCGATATGCTATCCCCAAACTGTTAGAAGTGCTGGTCATTTATTTGTCATTCCAGTATTTATCTTATGTTTTATTCTTAGTAATTCTTTACTATCATGAAAACTTTTTCTTAGTTTAATTGTTTTGAAACATTTGTTTTAATAAATTAATATTTAATTTTCTGAATATTGCTTAATCCTAATTTTTGTTTTAAGATTTATACTGTATGTTTGACTTACAATCTATTATATGAACTTTTTTTTTTCTTGGCGGAACCGGGGATTGAACTCAGGCCCTTGCGCTTGCCAGGGAAGCGCTTATTCCACTGAGTCATCTCCCCAGCCCCAATTTTTTATATGAACTTTTTTTTATAATCTATTTAAAAGACATGGTATGATATTTTCTCCCAGTATTAGAAACTTTAAAAAGTATATTTCCATTTTCCATTGACTTTATATTACTTCTTCCCTATTTTTTATTTACATACACACATGCATATGAAAAAATATGTGTATAACCCAACATAAGATTGATACTGTTTCATAGAAATCTTTAATAACCTTTTAAATGGGTTCATCTAATATATTTTACATAGTCCTGCATAACTATCATTTTGAGGGCTCTTTATTCTTCATCCAGGAGCATACAGCAACTTCTCCTGCCTTCTGAATTATGTTCTTTGTTATTTCCTATATGCTACATCTGAAGGTATTAGAATATTTCGAGTTTGTATAACTGGAAAATATTTTAATTTTAGTTTTCAAAGGTATGCTTGTTAAGTATAGAATTCAAAGGGGACAGATCTTTTTTTCCCCCTTTCTTTCAGTCCTTTAATTAATCTAGTATCTTACACACTTGCTCTTTTATGTTTGTTTGTTTCTAATGTGAAATAAGATGCTTTTTAATTTTGTTCTTCCACAGCTAATTTTTAGGGTACATGTTTTAATGATTTTTTTTCTTTATAATAAGTTTTGGACAATTTCATTTTTGTGTATCTGGGTATGATTTTATTGAAATTTCTTGTGTAAAAGGTTCATTTTTCTTGAAAATGTGGTATTATGAGTTCAACTAAATTCAGAAATTTTAAATCTTTAAATGTTTATTGCCTACTTCTTTCTAGTTTGAGAATTCTAGTTATATGAATATAAGTTCCTTGATTTTGACACGGTGAACTATTATATGACTGATCTGTAAATTCTTTTTCATTTTTATTTTGGACAATTTTTATTGCTGTATTCATTTAAGTTTGTAAATTATTTACAATGTGCAATTTTTAAAAATGCTAACAAATTGAAAAGCATTAAAATTAAAAAATAAATTTAAAAAATGTACATGGACCATGCTTATGATGGTCATTGTATTTGTTTAGCACTGGAATTTATAATTTCAGAAGAGGAAAAGAAAAGTAGAAGTGCGCCCTTTTTTCCCATAATTGTAGGAAGAAAACCTGGCTGTACTCACTCACTTAAGGCTTTACCAGCTTTTCCTGTGGATCTAAATGGCTCTATGAGAGATGGACCACCATTGAATAAATTGGTCTTCAGTAGTGCTGTCTCTCGCACACAGGCACCAGTCCTTATCTTTCTGTAGTTACATCAGAAAGACTTGGTTATATCACTACACCCACAGAAACAAACATCCCTTCTAACATTCCAAAAGTCTGTTTACCTAAATAGGCACAACTTTTGAAATCTCTTTTTGTGAAAAATGTTGGTTGGGCTACACAGTTAACTAGTGGAGCTGTGTGGGCTCAGTTTAATGATGGGTCACAGCTGGTAGTCCAGGCAGGAGTGTCTTCTATCAGTGACACATCACCAAATGGTCAACATAACCAAGTGTGGAGAACAGGAAAAGTTATAAGTATACATCAAAAAGAAATTACAGTGTGTTTGTTGTATCCTTTCAATGTTTTATAATCCAACTCCTACTTTTCATTGATGAAAACTGCTTTCAGATAATCTATGTTTTTGGAGTGTTTTTGTTTTTGTTTTTATTTTTGTTGTTTGTAGAACCTGGAATTGAACTCAGGCCCTTGTGCTTGCCAGGGAAGTGCTTATTCTACTGAGCCATCTCCCGAGCCCCAGATAATCTATGTTTAGTAAATAACCTGGAGACTGCAAAATGAACCTGAATGATTTCATCAGTATGGATCCTGAAGGGCCAGGCAAATAGTTCAGCAGATTAAAGCAGGGGCTGGGGGTTTGATCCCTGGGCCTGCCATGTGGGCCCTGCCCCCAGGGCTCACTGAGATGGCAATTGAGACTGGACGTGGTGGCACACACCTGCAAACCCAGCTGTTGGGAGGCTCTCAACAGGTGGATCACTATGAGTTCAACCCTGTAGTGAGACCCTTAACACCCTGTAGATGCTTCCCTGAAATACAAAAAGTAAATAAATAAAAATAAAAAATAAATAAAATATGGGTCCTGAAGTTGAATGGAGAATTGTCTACTTACTACCTGAATTGGCATACCAGTTTAACAATAAAAGGTACTGAACTGGACATCCAGATGTGGAACTGTGGAGAACTCCAGAACACAAAAGAACCATCCTGTCATTTAGGACAGCAAACATAGTGCAATTGGCTTGAAGTTACTTTTTTCTTTTAATTCACTGGAGTAGAAACATGGATAGGCACAAATACAAATGAACTAAATAACCTTTTTTGGAGCTATGGTAGAATACATACTTAGCATGTGAGAGGCCCTGGGTTCCATCCCAGCACCACAAATAAAAGACAACTTTTCTTTTGGTGTGTCAAGTAGAAAGTTGCCAAAGCACACAATTGCTGCCATGTGGTGCTTACATTAAAACACGTGACAGCTGGTACTAGTCACTGCTGTGTCCAGCCAGAAGCATCTCTTCCTTACGGTTCCTGCTTCTCTAACCTCAGTGTAAGCCTGTCATGGGCAAGGCTGTAGCTCACAGATGCATTAGCCTTGGATGTGCACATAAAAGATGTTCATACAATATTTTGAGAGACAACACTGCTGTTTGCAAAAGAATTCACTGTAAATTGAATCAGCAATATACATTAGTCTTTTTGGACTGCAGTATTGTTAATGACCGCATTGCGCTCAAGCTGAGTGACATTTACCCTAATAAGTGATTTTTCAAAATTAGATTTAAATTTTATTGTGTTGAAGGTTTTGCATCATTTTTCATGTGCTTTTTAAAAAACACATTTATCATGGCTGCCTTCCTGGGAAATGGGTTTCAATCATACAACTCCAAATAAAAGATACTTGACTTCAAAAAATGTGGTATTTTACAAAATGGAGTATTACTCAGCTATTAAAAAAGATAAATTTGAGGCTTTTATAGATAAATGGGTGCAAGTGGAGACTGTATTGTTAAGTGAAATAAATCACACCCACATGTACATACATTGCATTGTCTTGCTAGCATGAGAACCTGAAAGCATAAATAAAATCTGAAAACTACAAGAAATACTGTGAAAGGAAAACAGTTTGTTTACCAGGCCAAGGCCCAGAACTAAGGAAGCATCCTTGTGGCACAGAAGTGATAGTAAAATCAAAGAAACAGAAAAAAATCAACAGATTCATAGATAGGTACAAAGTACCAAAACAGAATCAAAACAATATAGAAATTCTGAATAACAAAATATCAGCCAATGAAATTGAAAATGTAATCAAAACATTATTGACAAGGGCTGGCAAGATAGCTTAGCAGACTAAGTGCCTGCTTAGGCAAGCATGGGGGCCGGGGTTTGATCCCTGACACCACATGTCTTGCGGACCCCCTCTGAGACATACTGAGCTGAAGACTGAGTCTGGGCATGGTGGTGCATGCCTGTAATCCCAGCACTGGGAAGGCTGAAAACAGGAGGATCACTACAAGTTCAAGCTGTGTAGTGAGACCCTGCACAAAATACAAATAAATAAATAATTAATTAATTATTTTTAAAAACCTGAAAAAAATAAAAAGCTACTGAAAAGAAAAGCCCATAGGGACAGCAAGATAGCTCAGAGAATTAAAGCACCTGCTTAGGCAGACACAGTGGTTGGAGGTTCGATCCCCAGTCCACCATGCTGGCTCCACCTCCAGGGCACACTGAGATAGCAATTGAGACTGGGAATGGTGGCAAGCACTTGGGAAGCTGAAAACAAGAAAATCACTACAAATCCAATCTGTTTAGTGAGACCCTGTAGACAACATAGACCCTACACTAAATGCAAAAAAAAAGAAAGAAAAGCCCAAGTTCTGATAGATTCACAGCTGAATTCTACCAGAAATTCAGAGAAAATTTAATCTGAATAATCTGCAAACTCTTCAATGAAATTAAAAAGGAAATAATACTCACAAAATCATTCCTGGAAGCTAGTATTATACTGATATGAAAACTAGAGAAAGATTCAACCAAAAGAGAGAATTACAGGTAAATCTTCCTCACGAATGTAGATGCAAAAATAAGCAATAAAATAATTAAAATAAAATACAGCAAGCCATCAAGAAGACTATACACCTTGACCAGGTAGGATTCATCCCAGGGATACAAGAATGGTTCAACATATGCAAATCTGTAAATGTAATACACTATATCAATAGAATCAAATCCAAAAACCACATGATCATCTCAATGGATGCAGAAAAGGCTTTTGACAAAGTCCAACACACGTTCATGATCAAGGTCCTACAAAAAAATGGAATAGATGGCCTATGCCTCGATCTGATAAAAACTATCTATGGCAAAGCAACAGCCAACATAACTCTAAATGGAAAAATAATTAAAAGCTTTTACTCTCAAAGCAAGTAGAAGACAAGAATGTTCTCTATTACAATTCCTGTTCAATATACTTCTAGAATCATTAGTTAGAGCCATTAGACAACAGAGAGAAATAAAAAGAATAAGAATAAGTAAAGAAGTTAAACTGTCACTAATTGAAGAAGACAAAATACTTTACTTGGAAGACCCAAAAAACTCCATGAAGAAGCTCCTAGAATTAATAAACACATTCAATAGCACAGCAGGATACAAAGTCAACCCCCAAAATCTATAACACCTCTTCACAGAAAACAAAATCACCAAGAGAGAAATTAGAGAAACAATATCCATCACAATAGCATCCAAAAAAATGAAATACTTAGGAATTAATCTAACAAAGAATGTAAAAGATCTATACAATGAAAATTACAATACTCTGAATAAAAGAGATTAAACAGGATTTCAGAAAATGGAAAGGTATTCCTTTCTCTTAGATAGGAAAAATCAACTTTGTGATAATGGTCATATTGCAAAAATTGCTATACAGATTAATGCAAACTCTATCAAAATACCATCACCATACCTCATAGAACTAGAGAAAACATTGTGAAAATTTATTTGGACCCAGAAAAGACCTACCAAGGCAATCTTGGGCAACAAAGGCAAAATGAAAGACATTACAATCCCTGACTTGAAATTATACTACAAAACTCCTGTGATAAAATCAGCACATTACTGACCAAAAAAACCCTCAAAGTTCAATGGAACAGACTAGAAAATGCAGAAACAACTACAAACACACTCAGCCATTTTATCTTTTTTTCTTTTCAGAACCGAGGATTGAACTCAGACTCTTGTGCTTGCCAGGCAAGCATTTATTCTACTGAGCTATCTCCCTGGCCCCAGCCATTTTATCCTTGACAAAGGGGCAAACACATTCACTGGAAGAAAGATAACCTCTTTAACAAATCATGGTGGAAAAACTGGCTCTCCACATGCTGAAAACAAAAATTAGACCAGCGTCTATCATCATGCACTAAACTGAAGTTAAAATGCATTAAAGACCTAAATATTAAAAGAGAAACACTAAGACAACAATATGCAATGTAGTAAGTACTGAAACTGCCCTACTAATCGGCTTTGAAACCGTCTCATTGTTCTTTGTTTCTCAATAAAATTATTTTAAAAATAAAATAAAATAAAATAAACTTCTGACCGAACCAGAAAAATAAAAAATAAACAGAAACACTAAATGTTCTAGATGAGAAAGTGGGTGGAAATCTTGAAGAATTAGGGGTAGGCAGACAGTTCAACAGGAAAAACCAAACTGCACAGGAAATACTGCAAAGAATTGACAACTGGGATCTCATCTTATTGAGAAGTTTCTACATGTCAAAAGAAATCACCAACAGAATAAAATGACAACCCACAAACTGGGAAAAATCTTAACCAATAATCACTCAGACAAAGGTCTTTATCCAGAATATATAAAGAACTAAATAATATTAAGCCCCCAAAATTTGAAGAACCAATCTGAAAATGGGCATGTGAGATGAGTACACACACTCAGAAGAAGAACTACAATGGGCCAATATATACATGAATAAATGTTCCACAACACTGGCCATTCAAGAAATGCAAATTAAAATAGCATCATCTCACCCCAGAAAATGTGGCTTTCATAAAGAGATCAATCACTAATAACAAATGCTGGAGAGGTTGTGGCAAAAAAGGAACACTTCTCCATTATTTTTGGTAGTGTAGACTGGTACACCCACTGTGGAAATCATTGTGGAGAATCTTCAAAAGACTAGGACAGGAAATTCCATTGAACCCAGCTATTCCCCTTTTCAGTATTTTCCCTAAAGAACTGAGAACATCATACCATAGTGATATATGTGTACCCATGTTTATAGCAGTACAATTTGTGATAGCCAAAACTTGGAAACAACTAAAATGCTCATCACCTGAGGAATGGTTGAAAAAGATGTGGTATTCTTATACAATGAAATATTACTCAGCTATATAGAAAAACTCAAAGCTTTATAGGTGAGTGAATGCAACTAGAGGCTATATGCATAAGTGAAGTAAATCAGACCCACACATGTAAATATCATATTGTCTCCCTAGTTTAAGAACTTGAAAGAAGAAATAAAACCTGAAAGACATGATATGTATAGTAAAATAGAAAGAAACAAGGATTAAACAACGA